ATACATCAATCTCTCACTCGAACACTCACTCACTCACCAATACACCCATCTCTCACTCACTCACCAACACTACTCTCACTCACCCACTCACCAATACACCCATCTCTCACTCTCACTCACCAATACACTCACCCATCTCTCACCAATACACCCATCTCTCACTCACTACAATCATCTCTCACCCTCCATCTCTCACTCACCAATACAACCATCCTCACTCACTCACCCACTCTTTCACCACTCACCAATACACCCATCTCTCACCAATCACCCAGTCACCAATACACCCATCTCTCCTCACTCACCAATACACATCTCTCACCCAGTACATCAACTCTCACTCACCAATACACCCATCTCTCACCACTCACCAACCCATCTCTGCCTCACCCTACACCCATCTCTCACTCACTCACCAATACACCCATCTCTCACTCACTCACCACACATCTCTCACTCAGTACATCAATCTCTCACTCACTCACCAATACACCCATCTCTCACTCAGTCACTACACCCATCTCTCACTCACTCACCAATCACCCATCTCTTACTCACCACCAATACACACCCACTCACCAATCACCCTCACACTCACTCACCAATACACCCATCTCTCACTCAATACATCCATCTCTCACCCAGTACAATACATCTCTCACCAATACACCCATCTCTCACTCTACACCCATCTCTCACCCAGTCACCAATACACCCATCTCTCACTCACTAACCCGCTCGCCAATGTACCCATCTCACACCCACTCACCAACATATCAATTTCTCACTCACCCACTCACCAACACACCCACCTATCTCAATCACTCTCTCAAAAACACACACACACACCAACACATCACACACACACACACACACACACACACACGATACACACACACACGATACACACACGATACACGACCCCACAACTGATTCCATCCATGAACCCACGAACGCTCAATGATTGATAACCTCAAAGAGATACAGTTTAATACAACCATATAATCCTTCAGAACAACATCTCCAAGCGAGGCAGCATACGTGCATGTCGCCACACACACGGGGGGGTTGAACACACACGTTGCATGCAATGGAGGCGAACGCCGTTCCTGATGACGGAATTGCCAAATGCCACAGTTCCTACCAGTGAATGTAAGTCATGAAAGCAATAACGCAGAAAAAACTGTTGACAATCCCTGCTAGACGTAAAGGAATGTCGGAATTATACCACACCGGTGTTGTTTTTCTAAACAAATAAACAAACAGTGTATTAAGTCCAGTTTGGTTAAAAATTTGTAAAATTTAAAGAGTTGTTTGAAAGGGGTTCGAGTCAAAATGGAAGATATTAGAGATTGAATGAAACGTAAACAAATTATTTTTGTGTGAATTAAATTCTGAACTGAGAAACAAAAAAATAGTACATCGAATATGTTTTTCAGAAAATGAAAACTTAAAAGAACTGTTATTAAATTTGATTATAGTTATTTAACCATCATTAATTCACGCATCAGTAAAAAGACCCGTGAAGATCCGGGTTAGAATTGATCTTCAGTAACCCATGTTTGTCGGAAGAGGCGACTAACGGGATCGAGAGGTCAGGCTAGCTGACTTGGTTGACACATGTCAAGTTGCTCAGGCTGTTGACCATTAGATTGTCTCGTCCAGATTATGTACAGACCGGCGCCATATAGCTGGGATATTGCTGAGTGCAGCGTTAAAATCTGTCGCTGAGAAACATTGTGTAAAATTATATTGGTACAATAAAGGCTGGGAAGAAATGAAAGGGAAACCACGTGACTCCTACCATGCTTGAAATGCAAATCTATGCAAATTCAACCCCCAAATATATCGCCTCATCCACTTGATAACCATCAGCTTTTGCATATTATGCGAAATTCTTTCTGTATATTTCAAAATATTTTAATCAAATGATTTTTTTAAAACAAAAGTGCTCAGAAAGTGTCAGTAAAGTTAATAATTTAAATAATATCTCCAATCTGAGATATGTTAATTGAAAATCAAACATTATAAAATCAGCTGTGAATTATAACACTTTCTCTCCTCAGTTTTCATAGCAAAAACACTGGATTTTCTCACAGAAAAGACTCATATCTTGGAATTTAGCCTGTGAATTGAAAAGAGGCGTTAAGACGAATCGCAGTGAGTATATGTGACTGTGGGATGCTTAAACGATATTGTACATGACACCGCAGTCTACAGAGGCTGTAAAAGGGGTGAGAACATAGGTTACCATTGCGTCTGTTGACAAGTGAGAATGTTTACGATGTATTATCGCTGTCATACCTAAACCCCCGCAGGTGTCTCTGTGTGCATTAAGACACTCCACCACGTGGGAACATGTGTTAAAACTGTCCCCACCAAAAATTACCGGCAGCCGTTTACAAGAAAATTTAAGATGGGGATAAAAGAATAAAAAAGAGACTAAAGTTTTACTCATATCTGTAGGGCACAGCTCTGGAATAAATAATAGGTTGTGTAAACCGGTTATTCATCTTCTATGCTGGTGTTCTGTATTCTGTGTTCTGTGATGTATATATATAAGAAAGATGGCTCACTTGGGTTTGTTGTAGTGTTGGGAATTGGTTAAAATCTCATAACTGATGATTGGTTTATTACAACCGATCAATCATCGAAAAAAAAAATGGTTAACGTCATTAATGAAATTTGTTAATGCACATAAAAATATTGAAAAAACATGTAGTTCTTTGGGGGTTTTGGCAAAATTTCACATCTTTAAAGGATGACTAGTATGTCAGGAACATAAATTTCTTGGAGTCTTTAAGATAAATTCAATCATGACTTGAAACGAGCTTGTAGTGCTTATGAAATGTAACAGACAAAACCAACCTTGTGAAAAAAATTGTTTATGAAAACAAGTGTTCCAGAATTGTTTGTGTTCGATTGTGAGAAAACATGATCGATTGCTTGGTCGTATAGTCACTGCGACCAATCTTCGATTATTTCAATTAATCGGACCACCACTAGTTTGTTGGCTTACTATTATACGAAATCAACGTAGAATATTGTTTTAGCACAAGCAGTTCACCTTAGTATTTCTTCCTAAAACTCGAATTTCAAACATAAATTTAGTGAGTGAGTGAGTTTAGTTTTACGCCGGATTCAGCTATATGGCGACGGTCTGTAAATAATCGAGTCTGGACCAGGCAATCCCGTGATCAACAGCATGAGCATCAATCTACGCAATTGGGATACGATGGCATGTGTCAACCAAGTCTGACCACCCGATCCCGTTAGTCGAGTCTTCCGACAAACATGGGTTACTGAAGATCATTTCTAATCTCCACGGGTCGAAACATAAATATATAAAAAGTAACGCGATTATAGTTATTAAAATAAATAATACCAAAATTGTATTAATGATCATATCCCAACCACAAAAAAACCACACTGAAATAGCAGAGGGAAATATATTTTCCGTTTCCTTCAAACCTTTCGAACAAAAACGCCATATAACGTTAAAAGCTTTTCATAGCCTTTCATTTTTCATTTTAATTTCGTTTGTTAATATCGAAGATAAGTATATGTGGCAATGGAGGTTTTGAAAATGTGAAAATATAAGGCAATGGTAATGTATTAAATCCACACATCATGATAACGCTGTTAACATTCTTTGTTAACTGACTGTTAACATTGCAACGAGTATAAGACCCGATAAAACCACACGCACGCACAAATATATATATATTTCTCATTATACGTAAATACATATACATACAGTAATAAGAAAAAGATGAAATTATTTTCTGTGTATTTATCGTCATTGTTCAGCCCAAGTGAGACAGTTAATATTTTCTGTGTAAAACCGAATTACACGACCAAGAGCTGAGACATGTCTGCTGAATGACATATTTTGACATATTTCGCTTGACATGGTGTCGTCAACGAACCCTCACGTGCCACACACAATAGCCACATCCGGCGGGGCTCGTGATGGCCGCTCGTGATGAAAAATAATCAATTTATGACCGACAGAAGCATATTAAGGCGAGTAATTTAATACTCAGCCTAACACCTGGACTGGAAAGTAATATCTTACACAATAGGCGTTCTGTTATTTCTGAAAGGCGGATTATGAAGGGCCATTCAATAATGATTAAAACTCACCTCGTTAAAACATTTCCGTTTATCGGTAATTTAAGCAAAACTAAAACCTATTAAACGGTTAAAAGATCGAATGAAAAACTTAAGAAGGCTTGTAAACTTGCCAGCCCGCAATCTCAAATTGAACGCTGAAACTATTGTGATGTCAAAGTGTCTTGTTTTATTGCCTTGGCTGACACTAATTAAAGTAATGTTTAATAGATTAGAAGACGACACAAAAAATCACTTGACATATGAAAGCCTTAAAGTTTAAATTCTCGAAAGCCTCTTATAAAAATGTCCCCTAAAAACTGTAAAATATCATTCTCGAAACATCACATATTTCGCACAAAAACATTATCTTGATGAGCTAGCCCGACGCGAACTATTGACATATAACTGAATATTTTTGTAGGCATGCATTTCTAATATCCTTTCATGATTTTTAACATACTGAATTAAATGCACGCAATAGCATGCTTCTGGGTGTGACGCTGGCCTTTCCTCGACAGATCGAGTGACATTCAATGTGATTTGAACTCAGTAACCTTGAACATATCGCAATGATTGCAAAAGGTGCATTTCATCTTATTGAGCACAAATGAAGGAACTATTCAAAGCCCTTTGATCGAGATCAGAGTGTGTGCATGTTGAGAGAGGGGTGTGACCGGGCAGAGTAATCATACACATCAACTTAACAGATGAGTGCAGTGCTAGATCTGTGTTTAATAAAGTAAAACCATCTGCAGATGGAATCACGAAAAGGCCCCTCCCAAAGTGTGCATGATGCCTGTGATTGTGTTGATAGATGCGTCTGTGTGTTCAACAGACCAGGTCAATGTTGCCAGCTCTTGTACCTTTGTTGCTGGTGCAGCTGATCATCTTACTCGGACAGCTGATGATGCCACTACTACAGCTGACGATGTTTCTGGTACAGCTGATGATATCATTACTACAGCTGACGATGCCACTGGTACAGCTGATGATGTCATTACTACAGCTGACGATGCCACTGGTACAGCTGATGATGTCATTACTACAGCTGACGATGTCACTGCTTCAGGTGATGATGTCACTACTACAGCTGACGATGTCACTGCTACAGGTGATGATGTCACTACTACAGCTGACGATACCACTGGTAAAGCTGACGATATCACTACTACAGCTGACGATGTTACTACTACAGATGATAATATCACTACTACAGCTGACGATGCCACTGGTACAGCTGATGATATCATTACTACAGCTGACAATGCCACTGATACAGCTGACGATGTCACTACTACAGCTGACGATGTCACTGCTTCAGCTGACGATGTCACTGCTACAGCTGATGATATCACTACTACAGATGATAATATCACTACTACAGCTGACGATGCCACTGGTACAGCTGATGATATCATTACTACAGCTGACGATGCCACTGATACAGCTGACGATGTCACTACTACAGCTGACGATGTCACTGCTTCAGCTGACGATGTCACTGCTACAGCTGATGATGTCACTACTACAGCTGACGATGTCACTGCTTCAGGCGATAATGTCACTACTACAGCTGACGATGTCACTGCTTCAGCTGATGATATCACTATTACAGCTGATGCTATCGTTACTACAGCTGACGATGCCACTGGTACAGCTGATGATGTCACTATTACAGCTGATGATATCACTACTACAGCTGACGATGCCACTGGTACAGCTGATGATGTCACTATTACAGCTGATGATATCACTACTACAGCTGACGATGCCACTGGTACAGCTGATGATGTCACTATTACAGCTGATGATATCACTACTACAGCTGACGATGTTACTACTACATCTGATGATATCGTTACTACAGCTGATGATGCCACTGGTACAGCTGATGATGTCACTACTACAGCTGACGATGTCACTGGTACAGCTGATGATATCACTATTACAGCTGATGATATCATTACTACAGCTGACGATGCCGCTGGTACAGCTGATGATGTCACTATAACATTTGATGATGCAACTACTACAGTTTCAGGAGTTTTTACTACAGTTGCTTGTCAAGTTGAATAGGTTTTTATAGTGCAGTTGTTAATGTTACTACTCCAGTTATAGGTTACTACAACTGTTGCTGATGTTACTACTGCAGTCGCTCATCCTGCCAGTCAAGATGATGATGCTACTGATTAGCCGTTGTACGTGTTACTACTACAGATGTCGGTTACTAATACAGTCGATAACCTTCCGAATCAAGTTGATGTGGTTACTGTAAACGAGATGTAGATGTTACTAGTCAAGTTGATGCGGCTAATATAGAGCAGTTGTAGATGTTACTAGTCAAGTTGATGCGGCTACTAAAGTGTAGTTGTAGATGTTACTAGTCAAGTTGATGCGGCTACCATAGAGCAGTTGTAGATGTTACTAGTCATGTTGATGCTGCTACTATAGAGCAGTTGTAGATGTTACTAGTCAAGTTCATGCGGCTAAAATAGAGCAGTTGTAGATGTTACTAGTCAGGTTGATGCGTCTACTATAGAGCAGTTGTAGATGTTACTAGTCAAGTTGATGTGGCTACTGTATAGCAGTTGTAGATGTTACTAGTCAAGTTGATGCTGCTACTATAGAGCAGTTGTAGATGTTACTAGTCAAGTTGATGCTGCTACTGTAGAGCAGTTGTAGATGTTACTAGTCAAGTTGATGCTGCTACTATAGAGCAGTTGTAGATGTTCCTGGTCAAGTTGATGCGGCTACTATAGGGCAGTTGTAGATGTTACTAGTCACGTTGATGCGGCTACTGTAGAGCAGTTGTAGATGTTATTAGTCAAGTTGATGCGGCTACTGAAGTGCAGTTGTAGATGTTACTATTCAAGTTGATGCGGCTACTGTAGAGCAGTTGTAGATGTTACTAGTCAAGTTGATGCGGCTACTATATAGCAGTTGTAGATGTTACTAGACAGGTTGATGCGGCTACTATAGAGCAGTTGTAGATGTTACTAGTCAAGTTGATGCGGCTACTGTAGAGCAGTTGTAGATGTTACTAGTCAAGTTGATGCGGCTACTGAAGTGCAGTTGTAGATGTTACTAGTCAGGTTGATACAGCTACTATAGAGCAGTTGTAGATGTTACTAGTCAAGTTGATGTGGCTACTGTATAGCAGTTGTAGATGTTACTAGTCAAGTTGATGCGGCTACTATAGAGCAGTTGTAGATGTTACTAGTCAAGTTGATGCGGCTACTGTAGAGCAGTTGTAGATGTTACTAGTCAAGTTGATGCGGCTACTAAAGTGTAGTTGTAGATGTTACTAGTCAAGTTGATGCGGCTACCATAGAGCAGTTGTAGATGTTACTAGTCAGGTTGATGCGGCTAATATAGAGCAGTTGTAGATGTTACTAGTCAAGTTGATGTGGCTACTGTATAGCAGTTGTAGATGTTACTAGTCAAGTTGATGCGGCTACTATAGAGCAGTTGTAGATGTTACTAGTCAAGTTGATGCGGCTACTGTAGAGCAGTTGTAGATGTTACTAGTCAAGTTGATGCGGCTACTAAAGTGTAGTTGTAGATGTTACTAGTCAAGTTGATGCGGCTACCATAGAGCAGTTGTAGATGTTACTAGTCAGGTTGATGCGGCTAATATAGAGCAGTTGTAGATGTTACTAGTCAAGTTGATGCGGCTACTATAGAGCAGTTGTAGATGTTACTAGTCAAGTTGATGCGGCTAATATAGAGCAGTTGTAGATGTTACTAGTCAAGTTGATGCGGCTACTGTATAGCAGTTGTAGATGTTACTAGTCAAGTTGATGCTGCTACTATAGAGCAGTTGTAGATGTTACTAGTCAAGTTGATGCTGCTACTGTAGAGCAGTTGTAGATGTTACTAGTCAAGTTGATGCTGCTTCTATAGAGCAGTTGTAGATGTTCCTGGTCAAGTTGATGCGGCTACTATAGGGCAGTTGTAGATGTTACTAGTCAGGTTGATGCGGCTACTATATAGCAGTTGTAGATGTTACTAGTAAAGTTGATGCGCCTACTGTATAGCAGTTGTAGATGTTACTAGTCAAGTTGATGCAGCTACTAAAGTGCAGTTGTAGATGTTACTAGTCACGTTGATGCGGCTACTGTAGAGCAGTTGTAGATGTTACTAGTCAAGTTGATGCTGCTACTATAGAGCAGTTGTAGATGTTACTAGTCAAGTTGATGCGGCTACTGAAGTGCAGTTGTAGATGTTTCTAGTCACGTTGATGCGGCTACTATAGAGCAGTTGTAGATGTTACTAGTCAAGTTGATGCTGCTACTATAGAGCAGTTGTAGATGTTATTAGTCAAGTTGATGCGGCTACTGAAGTGCAGTTGTAGATGTTACTAGTCAAGTTGATGCGGCTACTATAGAGCAGTTGTAGATGTTACTAGTCAGGTTGATGCGGCTAATATAGAGCAGTTGTAGATGTTACTGGTCAAGTTGATGCGGCTACTATATAGCAGTTGTAGATGTTACTAGTCAAGTTGATGCGGCTACTAAAGTGCAGTTGTAGATGTTACTAGTCAAGTTGATGCTGCTACTATAGAGCAGCTGTAGATGTTACTAGTCAAGTTGATGCGGCTACTGTAGAGCAGTTGTAGATGTTACTAGTCAAGTTGATGCAGCTACTATAGAGCAGTTGTAGATGTTACTAGTCAAGTTGATGCAGCTACTATAGAGCAGTTGTAGATGTTACTAGTCAAGTTGATGCAGCTACTATAGAGCAGTTGTAGATGTTACTAGTCAAGTTGATGCGGCTACTGTACTGCAGTTGTAGATGTTACTAGTCAAGTTGATGCGGCTACTATAGAGCAGTTGTAGATGTTACTAGTCAAGTTGATGCAGCTACTGTAGAGCAGTTGTAGATGTTACTAGTCAAGTTGATGCAGCTACTGTAGAGCAGTTGTAGATGTTACTAGTCAAGTTGATGCGGCTACTATAGAGCAGTTGTAGATGTTACTAGTCAAGTTGATGCGGCTACTATAGAGCAGTTGTAGATGTTACTAGTCAAGTTGATGCGGCTACTGTATAGCAGTTGTAGATGTTACTAGTCAAGTTGATGCAGCTACTGTAGAGCAGTTGTAGATGTTACTAGTCAAGTTGATGCAGCTACTGTATAGCAGTTGTAGATGTTACTAGTCAAGTTGATGCAGCTACTGTACTGCAGTTGTAGATGTTACTAGTCAAGTTGATGCAGCTACTGTACTGCAGTTGTAGATGTTACTAGTCAAGTTGATGCAGCTACTGTAGAGCAGTTGTAGATGTTACTAGTCAAGTTGATGCAGCTACTGTATAGCAGTTGTAGATGTTACTAGTCAAGTTGATGCAGCTACTGTATAGCAGTTGTAGATGTTACTAGTCAAGTTGATGCAGCTACTGTACTGCAGTTGTAGATGTTACTAGTCAAGTTGATGCGGCTACTGTAGAGCAGTTGTAGATGTTACTAGACAGGTTGATGCGGCTACTATAGAGCAGTTGTAGATGTTACTAGTCAAGTTGATGCGGCTACTATAGAGCAGTTGTAGATGTTACTAGTCAAGTTGATGCGGCTACTATAGAGCAGTTGTAGATGTTACTAGTCAAGTTGATGCAGCTACTATAGAGCAGTTGTAGATGTTACTAGTCAAGTTGATGCGGCTACTATAGAGCAGTTGTAGATGTTACTAGTCAAGTTGATGCAGCTACTGTACTGCAGTTGTAGATGTTACTAGTCAAGTTGATGCGGCTACTGTAGAGCAGTTGTAGATGTTACTAGTCAAGTTGATGCGGCTACTATAGAGCAGTTGTAGATGTTACTAGTCAAGTTGATGCGGCTACTATAGAGCAGTTGTAGATGTTACTAGTCAAGTTGATGCGGCTACTATAGAGCAGTTGTAGATGTTACTAGTCAAGTTGATGCGGCTACTATAGTAGCAGTTGTAGATGTTACTAGTCAAGTTGATGCGGCTACTATAGAGCAGTTGTAGATGTTACTAGTCAAGTTGATGCAGCTACTGTATAGCAGTTGTAGATGTTACTAGTCAAGTTGATGCAGCTACTGTATAGCAGTTGTAGATGTTACTAGTCAAGTTGATGCGGCTACTGTAGAGCAGTTGTAGATGTTACTAGTCAAGTTGATGCTGCTACTATAGAGCAGTTGTAGATGTTACTAGTCAAGTTGATGCAGCTACTGTATAGCAGTTGTAGATGTTACTAGTCAAGTTGATGCAGCTACTATAGAGCAGTTGTAGATGTTACTAGTCAAGTTGATGCGGCTACTATATAGCAGTTGTAGATGTTACTAGTCAAGTTGATGCGGCTACTATAGAGCAGTTGTAGATGTTACTAGTCAAGTTGATGCAGCTACTGTACTGCAGTTGTAGATGTTACTAGTCAAGTTGATGCAGCTACTGTATAGCAGTTGTAGATGTTACTAGTCAAGTTGATGCAGCTACTATAGAGCAGTTGTAGATGTTACTAGTCAAGTTGATGCAGCTACTGTAGAGCAGTTGTAGATGTTACTAGTCAAGTTGATGCGGCTACTGTATAGCAGTTGTAGATGTTACTAGTCAAGTTGATGCGGCTACTATAGAGCAGTTGTAGATGTTACTAGTCAAGTTGATGCAGCTACTATAGAGCAGTTGTAGATGTTACTAGTCAAGTTGATGCAGCTACTATAGAGCAGTTGTAGATGTTACTAGTCAAGTTGATGCGGCTACTATAGAGCAGTTGTAGATGTTACTAGTCAAGTTGATGCGGCTACTGTACTGCAGTTGTAGATGTTACTAGTTGGGGGCGGTGGGGTAGCCTACTGGTTAAAGCGTTCACTCGTCACACCGATGACGCGGGTTCGGTTCTCTACATGGGTACAATGTGTGAAGCCCATTTCTGGTGTCAGTCGCCGTGATATTGCTGGAATATTGCTTAACAGCTGCGTAAAACTTAACTCACTCACTCACTAAATACAC